ACAACCTTCTTTACTTCGTTCTCTGTAATAATCTTGTAGCCACCGGAGTCCAATGTACCCACTGAGATAAGATTCTTCCGCAAGTCGGGAACGTGCCACACGTCCGTTAGGGTTCTGACCACTCCATCATGCATCTTGCTTTTTATATCACTGAGCCCCACCGTTTTACAAGCATGGTTATTCCCTATCAATACGGTTCCGCCATCAATGCTTCTATAGGTAGTAAACCACTTCCTATTTGGACACATATGGTAAGAGCAACCTGAATCAAGTATCCACTTACCGGAGATATCTTCGCCACCCGTAACAACATAGCATTCTTTATCGCTCCCTTCCTCTGAAGCATAGCTTACTTCTTCCTTACCTTCTCTCCTTTCAGTCTTATTGTTGTTCTTCTTCCTACTTACTCTCTTGTTTGGACAGTCGACCTTGAAATGCCCAACTTTACCGTATTTGAAGCACGTTCTTCCCGTAAGAGATCTCGATTAAGATCTAGACTTTCCTCCATTGCATTTTCCTCGCTCATTGCTCATTCCTCTAGCAAACAATCTCTGCGCTTGTTCTTTGTTACCACCAGTAGTCATATCACTGGTTACAATCTTCCGAAGGTCATCCGCTAGAAGCGCCGTTCTAGTCTCATCTATCGTCAAATTGTCTCCCACAAGCATCAGTGTTTACACCAGGTTCTCATAAGACTTCGGCAGAGATAGAAGTAGTAGAAGCGTCTGATCCTCGTCTTCTACAATTACATCGATGTCCTTCAAATCAGATATTATCCTATCGAACTTGTTGATGTATTCCCGGATTGATGAGCCCTCCTCCATCTTGCAAGTATACAATTTGGATTTTAAATAGATCCGGTTTGTTAGACTCTTCGTCATGAAGGTGCTTTCTAACTTCGATCACACGCCCACAGTCGTTTCCTCTCCATCTACTAAAAAAGCTACATCCCTTTCAAGGCAAAGGATAATCGACGTCCGTGCTTCCAGATCCAGCTCTTCCCAATCCTCATCAGACATATCCTTGTGCTTCTTCTCTTTTCCCGTCAAAGCTTTGTGCAATTTCTGTGAAATCAACGAGTTCTTCATCTGCATCCTCCAATAAGAAAAATCATTCTTCCCATTGAATTTTTCAATCTCGTATTTTCCCACTTTAACTGTTTTACTTGTTGATGTCATTCTCCGCTTATATTAATAAATTCGCTTCTCTCAGGAAATTACTGAGCACCACCTCAAACCAGAAGCTACACCACTCCCAATCTGAATAACGGCTCTGATACTAATTGTTGAGCGCAGAGTCACGCCCAACGTCGCGGAAGCGATATCACCTGAGAGAAAGCCCTGGCTTTTGTTGTCACAAAAGCACAAGTCAACCTCTATATTCTTGTTTCTCAAAGGAAACTAGAATAGATAGTGAAATTCTTGTTTCTCAAAGGAAACTAGAATAGAAAGTGAAATTTTTGTTTCTCAAAGGAAACTAGAATAGAAGTGAAATATTTTAACAAAGTAAAATATGCACTCTTCCTCTCATCAGTTCTAGGATTGAAATGTCGAGGGAACCTATAAGCAATAGCCAATACCCAGAAAACAATAAAGACACGAGATTTACGTGGTTCGGTAAAATTGTCTACGTCCATAGGAGGGGTGAGGGGAGATACCACTATGAGAAGAACACCGACGACTTGTACAATCCACAAGCTCGTCTCAAAGAAAAGAGATCTGATTTTTACCCAAAAGAAATTAACCTCTCTTTTGTAGAATCCCTTTTTTTCTCTCCTCAAGATCTCGGATCTAGCCGCCAAAAACACCTCTGACTTCCTTCTGTAGTTTCTCTCCACAGCTAGAAAAACTTCTCTGTTTGTGGCTGACCCTCTTTGTTTTTCTTTTCTCACCCACGCGATTTTCCCCCTGCTCCCGAAATAAAACCCTATCATGGGTATTTATAGGAGAAATTTGCAACTGTCTCACGCGAAAAAGAAGCCACCCGAAAGCTCAGGTCCACATGCCCACGTGGGTAGCCCCCACTCACACCGCTTGTACAGTATACGGATCTAAGCATGTCCTGTGGTCGTCGGTTAAACGTTCTGCTGTGCTAAAGGCGGATTCCGAAGCTACCGTCGAAACCTACACTGTTAGTAAGTCACGAACCATGGTGGAAATAATATTCATCTATTTTAAAATATCTAAAACATTTCGTTGATATTTAACTAAAGAAGCAGATAAATATTCATCGATTTCAGAAACCTCTAATGATGATGCAAGTCCAGATCCACCAGTTAGCCCAGCTACCATTACATACCAATCTATATAATGGGAAGTAATCCAATGCATTAATTTCATGGTGCCCAGTTAGCCTGTGGGAAGCCAAAGATTTAATAATAATGGAAGCTACATGTTCTTGTTCGTCCAAATTGAATACTTAAAACTTTTATTTTGACTATGAAGAGAGTAGCTACAAGGATGACGTGGATGAGGTATAAACTGGACGAGCACGATGACCCACACATTTGTGGCACTTGCCGATCAACTGGATGAGCATTCTGATGCACCTTTCATAATTAAATAAAGCAAGCAAACTGATATTCCCAATAAAGTTATACATACCTAATTAAGGATCTCTACAGCGCTAGCGGAAGCAAGAAGGTCGGTATTACGAAGTTAATAGAAGCTAACGAATTATTCAATTATTTCGCCAATAATTATAGAGCAAGAAGAAGGTAATGTTTTCTATCAGTGAAAATCATACATGTAGAGCCATTTTAGTAAGTAGGAGAGGTTGGGGTAGAGAGAGAGAGAGAGAGAGAGAGAGAGATGGTGGAG